CTTGAACAGATTTAGGTTATTAGCGCTGCCTCTGTTCATCTTGGCCACAAGGTTCTCAGCCAGCTTGGTGGCCCTTGTCCAACTCCACACCACCTTCCTGCTGTCTTACTGCCGCTCATGTCACTTGTCCTTGTCCCGATATGTCCCCCACAGGGCCTCTTATTCGGTTCCCCCTGCAACCGCTTGATTTTCCTCCTTGTCTCCACACCTGGACACCCTCTTCTTTGTGTTCAGGACATTCCTCTGGTCCTTTCCATGGTTTGTCATTGAGAAAACAGCACACTGACTATATGTGAACTGTGTTACTCACACAGAAGTGGAGGTAGTCTGTGATACAGTCCCTCAGTGTCCACCCCATGTCACACACAGCGTGACTGAGTCTGTATCCTGTAAAACATCCTGCAGTGACCTAAAGCGCCTTCATCCACTTCTTCACAGTCCTGGTGGTAACATGTAGTGAATGATTTTGAATATGGGGTTGAGACTGTGGTCAGATCTAGTGGTGGCCAAATGAAGCTTCATGAACCATTTGCTGTATTTTCTTATGCCACTAGATGGTGCTCTCTATTCAAAGAAGTAGCTCAAAGTATGCCCCAAAGCAAACCAAGAGCTCCATCTAGTGGGATCAAAAAGTATGGCAGCTGTGTTATGACGTTTCATTTAGCCATCATTAGTCAGATTTACCCAGTAGTGGAAGAAAGACAGAGCTGTTTGCCTCTGTATTTTGGCATTGACAGGTCCAATTTCCTATTCCCCTTGTGGTACATTCCACAAAGTAATAAAAAATTGCTGTTCAGGTGAGGGACAACACTAAGCTTTCATTGAAGACTGTATTATACTCAGATGCTTTAAAACCACTTCTGTGACCCAGTAGCTTAATTTGCTGGATTTCAGGAAACAAAATGATCGTTGAATAATGAACACAGCCAAGTAGAATGTGCAGAAACCAAACTGTCTGGGTTCTAGTTACTCCAGGCTGTCTTCCTTGCAGCTGGACTTTACCCTCAGAGTTTGATTTAGCTGATTTCTCTTTGGGAACACTCCTGCTGTTCTCCTTCCAGTATTCTCACAGCTTTTCTGTTGCGTTCATCATCGATCTTCATACCGCTTGTTTGGTTGAGGAGGGTCACAGGGGTAGTATTCCTGAGAGGTCAGGGCAGATATCCTTTTCTGTGGCCACTTGCCTCTATCTCGTCCTGGGGATCCCCACACTATCCCAGGGCTGTTGGGAGATATTGTTCCTTCAGTGATTCCTAGGTCCACATTGGGGCACCTGCCCATTGGGATATGCCTTCGGAAGCTGACCAAGTATGCCCACACCATCTCAGCTGATTCAGTCCAAAGGAGGAGTGTTTCTGTTTCAAGGTCCCTCTGGAGTACCAAACATCTCACCCTGTCATGGGGAGTGACTCCTCATTTAGGCAGCTTGTACTTGCACTCCTGTTCTTTAAGCCATTACCGACGAGTAGCGATGGCTAAACGAAGCTTCATGAACCATTTCCTGTATTTTTTGCCGCCACTAGATGGTGCTCTTGGTTTGCTTTGGGACATGCTTTGAGCTACTTCTTTGCACAGAGAGCACCATCTAGTGGGGTCAGAAAATCAATAAATGCTTCATGAAGCTTCATTTGTTCATCACTGAAGTTCAGAGGAAGGTGTTTCTATATATTGCTGGTTTGCTATTTGCAGTCATTTTATTGATAAAACAGGCAGAGTACAGGTATACAGGTGAACATTTTTAACATATCACTCTACAGTAATTAATACTTTTGCACAGTGAATGTGTCAGAATTATTAAAACTCAGCATTTTACTCAGCCAGCCAATGAACTCCACATATAACAACCGTGAAATCAAACATTAACAGATTTAGCATTTAATTGGTAATACTGTCAAATCCTGTATTTATACCTACACTACAGCAGAATATTTTGTGTTTACCTCCTTGATTTTGCACTTCTGTGTGCGTGCTGTGCTGACAGGATTTGTAAGAAAATACCACTAATTTTTAATAAGATTTTTTATTTGCTCTGATAGCGCTTGATCAGTTTTCAGCTGAAGTATTAAAAATGTGTATTTTTTGGGAAGTACCAATGGCAAACTGTCAGAATACATCATCAGAATATCTTCTGAAATAACAAGAGGCATATATGTTTAGAAAAGGTCTATAAAATATCCATTGTATGATGCATCAATGTCTTTAGAGGACAGGTTTGAATTAATTTCCGTGGAATTGTGCAATCAGTGTTAGGCAAGTCTGCATTTGTGCTTAGTATGTTATAAAAAAGAAACTGGTGAAGAAGATATGCATTGTGTTAATATTAAGCTGACACGAAGAGGTGACACCAGCGCCCCTAGTGGAAGCTTTTCCCATTTCCGCAGTGATGCAGTACAGGTCTGGTATGTGGGTTTGCAGCTGGTGCTTAGTAGACAGTGGAGGAAACTGTTGAAAAGAGAACAGACTCATTCAGAACACTGACAGCGAGTGTAGAAAATATATTACTAATAGGTGATGTAAAACATGGCTAGATTTCTTACTAGCAAACAAAAAATGTGCTTCCTTCCCTCAGCTATTGCTGAGTTTTTTACTGTACCTATAAACTAACTACTGATGACTGATTCACTCACATGCACTGCTGTTGAGGCTCGATGACATCAGGCTGCCGCCTCCCCCGCCCAGGCCGAGCCCTCCTCCCAGTGCCAGTCCAGCACCAAGGCCTCCTCCCAGTCCAGCGCCAAGACCACCATAACCGCCCCCGAGGCCAAGGCCTGAGCCTAATGCAAATCCGAGTCCTCCACCGGCACCCAGTCCTCCGGCTCCAGCTGCCAGGGAGAAGCCAGCTCCGCCCCCAACTCCACCCCCAGCTCCGCCCCCGACAGCAGTCTTGGTCATGTGCACGGTGACACCTCCACCTGACTTCAGCCTGAAGAACAATAAGCACAACATCCCAAATGGTCACAGACCGGAATGATGCTCCCTATTTAAATTAGACCTATTATTTAACTTGTCCTGCAGCTGTTCAAACCCATATATGTCCAGCACCCATCCATCCATCCATCCATCCATTTTCAATACCCACTTGTCCTTTGCAAGGTTGTATGGGGTCCAGAGTGGGAAATAACCCAGGATGGGGCACCAACCCATCACAGAATATATTCAACACTTCCCTACATATCATTAAATACATGCACCTATTTCTTAAAGTGTTCTCACTGCACCATACAGGCACAAATAACAGGCTATATTAATTTGCTTAATAATAATAGCTTATGTATAACTGTACAGCACATATTGGGAGCAGATCACTGGTATAGCTGTAAACAAATAAGCAAAATCTGAAAATTCATTTATATTCAGCGGATTACATGATCAAATTGACGCAGGATAAGTTTTCATCCAGTCCTTTTTTTACATAAACTGTTACCATCCCAGCAAGTGTGTATGCAAACATGCAAACAGGGACAGATGTTTGTCATGCAGATGCTGTGATGGCTCCTCACCTGTTCTCTTCACTGTCCAGGAGTTTCTTATAAGCTGTGATTTCCACATCCAGAGACATTTTGCTTGCCAGGAGTTCTTGGTAATCTTGGCCATATTGAGCAATTTGCTGAAACAAAAGGATACCACAGAAAAATCAATATACCGTACAAAATGACACCAGAAGTGTCGTCTATAAATGCAGGTAAGCAGCAAAATATGTCAGTTCAAGTTCACAGTCAGCAGTCAGCAGTGATTCTCAACTTTTTTGTACCGTGACCCAATTTCTACCATGCCAGCTCAGTCATGACCCTATATCAAATATAGGTCTAAATTAACACTATGATCGAGCAGGCAGTGCACCCTGCAATTTACGCCAATCAATGCCTGTCGCACAAATCTGATTGGATGTACCAGTGAATTTTAAATTAAGCATCTGTGGTTTGGCTTCTTGGATTGGTTGAGTGTTCACTAGTTTTGCGCTAAGCGTTTGCAGACCCAAGACCCATTTATATAGGTTAATTCTAGGATTGGGGCGGGAAATCTGACCGTGGATCAGCATAGGAGCTTGCTAATTTTAAAATGCTTACATTTCCAACTCTGCCTTGCAACCCTTTCAGACCCATGGGTTGAGAATCACTGATATAGTTTGTAACGGGATGCCTAGAGAAGCTAATCCACAGGCAGCAGGAGTTCAAAGACTCATGTCCGTCGGCGTACCTTTCTGATGTCATCAAGCTGTGACTTGAGGATTAAGACTTGATCCTGGTACGTCTCAGTGTGTGAGCTGGTATGGGCCTCCGCATCCTCTACTTGAGACTCCAGCTGATGGTTCTGTAGGTTGTATATCAGTGATGGCTAAATGAAGCATCGTGAACCATTTGCTATATTTTTTGACCCCACTAGATGGCAGTGTTGGGTTGTTTTGGGGCATGCTTTGAGCCCTTTTTTTGAATAGAGAGCACTATATGGAGCAGCATTGGAGCATAAATACTCCAAGTATATTTGCTGTTTTCAAAAAAGGTATTACATTTTATAATAGAGAAAACAGCAAGAAGTATATGCTTTAACTGGTCATGAGATACTATTTAAATGTTCTTTGGCTGGAATTCAGCTGGTATTTTATGTTGTTCCAGAGCCAACCCCCACCAACACGAAATAGTTTCTAAAAGTGTAATATGTAAATGCAATGCTTTTAATATGCATAGCGTTTTTTCGTTGTTCTTCAACAACTAGCAAGATACTCATTTATTGTTTGTTTTTTTTTTGGTGCAGGCTGATTTAATGTGTTTTCTTTGCCTGAGGTCTGTCTCAGTACACAAACATACCGCTGACTTAATCCTGTCAATCTCCCTCTGCACCGAGTCGATCTGCAGTTTGTAGACACGAAGCTCCTCCTTTGCGTTGGTGAGTGACTGGGTATTGGGCTGAGTGCTTACAGATATCATGGAGAGCTGCAAAGGAGTCAGAGAGATCTGTAGGTAATCATGCACATCTCAAACCAGGTACTGATGTTTTTTTCCCTCTTAATAAATCACAGTGGACGTCATTATTGAGTAAAACATACTACTTGTGTTTAAACGTGCTCAGCACCATGCAGAATATACGTTTGCCTCTGTAGGTTTTGCTCAAACTTAATGAAATAATATAACCCTCCTGCGCCGTAGTACTGTGAGTATCCACTAGATGGAGACAGCTACTTTGAAATATAAAAGGGCCCAAGCGGGCAAATTTTAAATATGGTCCCATAAACGTGCGTCAAGAAAACTGACGACAACCTGAATAAATTCGCAGAATGCATCTAGATTTCTTAATCTGTGAGTGAAAACACAGGAAGACAGAAGTGATGGCAGCTTACAGAGATGTTATTGCATGGAAAAAGAGAAAGATCACAGCTTTTAAGCTAAAAAATAACATATGGAAATAGAGATGACAGCACCAGGTTTCATTATCGTAGTATTCAGCTAAGGGGGGGGGGGGGTTACAGATCTTATTAATAATTCACTTTGCCTTTTGGTGTTTGGAAGAAGCTGTTGCTTGAAATGCTTACATCGGCAAATCGCAAATGTATTTTACAATTACTGGAAATTATACCAGACAGTATAATGCATTAAGCGGATAAAGCATTTCAGCATAGTAACTGGATTATAAATGTGTGTCTTATTACTTGATTTAGCTCACTTATTCTAATTAGAGATGTCAGCCTCAGTAGGGTTTAGCTGCCGGAGTTGTATAGGAGAAGCAGTCTTACACTGTCCTGGACGGATAAGAGAGCGTCCTGCTTGCTATTCTGGGCCAGCGACTCGTAATGCGCCTTCACTTCGGTCAGCGCCGAGGTCAGATCCTGAGCCTGGGCCGTGTTGTCCACTGAGATGGAGAAGGCTGACTTCACGCCGCCTGTTACAATGTTTCTCACCTCCTTCACTTTCTGGAAGCACAGAAAATAAAACAAATAATCAACATCAGACAACTTCGGCGACATGAACAATCAGTATCAACATAAACACGTAACTGTAGCTGTTTCCCCACTCAAGTGAGATTTAAATACACATAAAAATAGCCAGTGCGAAACTGTATATAAGTCTGGAGTTCCCTTTATCGCAACACCCTCATTAACATGCGCTGTGAGTATTTGATTGATTTTAACTGAAGAAGCTTTTGGAGCATTTGAATTTCCGTGATTGATGGGAAGACAGGAGAGTGTCAGATGGGAGGGAATTTTAATAGTACAGAGTGCCGTAGCGGAGCATATCCTCTGTGGGCCTTGTATGGTGACACATCTCATTTATAACGTACTAGGCGCTTAAACTGCGAGCGATTCCTTTTCGGCAGCTGCATAAGGAAATGAGAAGCGCTTATTCAAAATGTTTTTCTTCCCCCACTATCATTCTCCTTCACTGGCTTCTGCATTCCATTAGCGTCACGTGACAACATTGGGAAATGAATGGAAACGTTATTTGTGAATTTAGTTTTTTTCGTTTTTCATGGATCATATACAGAGAAAATTACAGAAGTGACATGCAAAGCAAATTACGTTAAAATCTATAGTGATGGATGAAAATTGCCATCATGCTAATTGTGGGTTGCAGTATACATATATAACTGGTGAAATTAATTAACTGATACAAATACACATATACAGTAACACAATACAACAGTGTATGTGATTACAGTCCACAGTTTATACATGCATTAGTTGTGTTTTTCTAAAGGGTTGCATTAAAATAGGCTGAATTATCATGCTAATTTTAACAAGGGGTTGACACTGAGGGCAAACTAGATAGGAATTAAGCTTCAGGGATTATTAAATCACATAACATGAGCCTAAGATGAAGTACGGGCAACATCTGTAAACAGGAGACTATATTTAATGGTTGAATCCAAGTAATTTTGAGAAGCTATTACAAAACTACAAAGTTTTAATCTTGATACACACTTACAGCATCATAGACCTGCTTGGACAGGGCAATCTGATCCTCCAATCCACCAACGATGGTCTGGAGCTCAAAAATGGTCAAGTATAGATTGTCCACCTCCTGTAAACAAACAGACAAGGAAAACATTTTGAGTAAATGATGACAAGTGTGCTCAAATGTGAAGCACATTTTAAATACTGTGTATATTTTTGGAGAGAATAAGAAAGACTAACCTCTTTTAAATTGGTCCAATCAGTCTCTAAGGTCTTGGTCTGGGATGTTTCCTCCTCAAGCCTTTAAGGGGAAAAAAAGCAAGAGTCAAACTAAACAACCTTTTGGAACCTGTGATTTTCCACATATCCTTACATTGGTCATGGACATATTGACACTTCATGAACCATTTGCTGTATTTTTTGACGTCATTAGGTGGTGCTCTCTGTTTAAAAAAGGGCACAAAGCATGCCCCAAAGCAAACCAATAGCACCATCTTGTGGAGTCACAAAATACAGCAAATGGTTCATGAAGTGGCATTTTGTCCATCACAACCTTACATGTAGTACAGCTGGAAGCAAAGAAAAGACAAAGAAACCTACTTGGACTGAACATCATCGATGATGTTCTTGTAGTGCTCGATTTCTGCAATAATAGCTTCCTTGGTTGTGGTTAGGTTGTCGATCTGAGTCTTGTAAGTCCCAATAGCGGAGGTAAGGAGGATGGACGTGCTGGCAGGTCCGCCCTGGTCTGGGTTGGTGAACATCGAGATCTTCGCCTTGAGAATAGCGTTTTGCTGCTCCAGCATTCGGGCCTGTCAGAGGAAGAAAAAAAATGTAATACTTTCACGTTACGCAGCCCGTAGTCAAATCACAAACATTTTCATGAGTGAAATTTAACACAGCAAAATGGACACTGTTCATTTTTGAATTATTAAACACGTCTTAAGTTTTACAGTTATATATTATGACATGCAGGACATACACTGAAGAAACATGCTTGGGCGGAGAGTATCCTTGACAGTGCAGATAGATGGCTTTAATTAATGAGATTACCCTTCAGCGGTCCAGCAGCACTCAGACCTACTGCAATGGTGCTACGTTCTACAAATGCTGTTTTTCAGAAGATTTATTGCCGGTGCTGGGGAGTCATGAGTGCCTCCACATTTAATTCTCCTGCTTCCCCGCTGTCATTTAAATGCTATGCGGCCCGAATACCAAAAACCTTTACTGTCTGCATTCTGAATTCTGTTTTGCTGTTGAATGACACTGTGCTGTGCTGTACATACCCATCACATTTGGCAAAATACTGGTATAACTAATCTTATATTGATTTGCACTCATTTCTCTAACATGAACATTACATGGTGGATCTATCATTTCTCCATGTCTTGGTATGTAAAACAATTCCTCACTGTCAAAGCTACAATGAAAAAGGAGATCAGTGACGTAGAGCTAAAGTATAAAGGGGAAATTGGGGTCATTTTGAAAGAAGCACAGATCAGACTGTGTCATGTAAAGATTAATCAAAACATGGATGTAGGAGAAATTCCAAAAATATATTCACCTGCACACAAGTCAATGCTCGTGCTGGAAAGATAAATAAACCTAACCAGAAATCCAGTTGCTGTATATTCATAGAGTAGCATAATATGTATACATGCAGTTGCATCTGTTAAGCTCTAAATAACACTAATGTAAGGCAATAGCCTGGAATGTTCCACATCACATGTCTAAGAAGGCTGCTGAACAACCTACCTTGTCGATGAAAGAGGCAAATTTGTTATTAAGAGCCTGTAGCTCATCCTTCTCTTTCATGCGGGTGAGTTGAACTGCATCTACAGATGGCAGCGAGGGGTCGATGACAGGAAGAGGACTGACACCTGCGTCAATGGTGGTCGTGGAACTGAGGAAGGTTGGGTTGTAGCCGTAGCCCCCGATTTTGAAGACGCGCCCCCCTAGACGAGCCCGGAGTGGAGCCACCCCCGCCCTAAAGCTCGCCATCTTGCCGAGAGCAGCGCCTCCGGCACCTAGGCCCAGCCCAGCACCTCCTCCCAGAGCCAGGGCCCCTGCACCTGCTCCTCCACCAAAGCCCAGGCCACCTCCCAAACCCAGCCCTCCACCCAGGCCCAGACCGCTTCTGACGCCAAGGCCAGATCCCAGCCCTGCCGATGCCCCTAGCAGTCTGGACACTCCTGAAGCAGCACCACCGGCCCGGGATCCGGAGAAGACCCGGTTGCCTCCATAAGTGGCACCGAACCTCACTGCACCCCCAGTGACTCTTAAATTTGTCTCAGGCATGTCAGTTGTAGAAGTGGGTTCAGGTCTCAGAGCTCTGAGTCCTCTGAAGCAGGCGAGATCTCCCAGGGATGCTGACCTGCTTTATACACGTCTCCGCTGACGTGGGCCACTTAGGTTCAGTGCTCTGATTTGTTGCCCCAGCTGTCATCGTCACTCGAGAACTCAGGCCAAGAGGCAGGCTGGAGTGTCTCCTGCAGGCACACGCATCTTCCAAAAACATGTTGGGACTGATCTTGTAGCCTGGGGCCATGTGTGATTGAAAGGGCCTATCACACTCAGTTTCTATACCCTGTAGCTGAAAAACCTAATCCTCTAAAAGTATGTCCTTACTATACTATTATAAAAACCTTAGCTTGTTTTTAGCTTCCACCATAAAGGTCTTTTTTTTCATTAATGATTTATATCATGTGATTAAATATTTCACTGGATGTTTGACTCATCAATCACCAATCAGACATCTCAGAAGGCAGCAGGTGAGCCAATCATCTTCAGGCTATGAGTACAGACATGTGGGAGATGCATTTGGAATTCAATTTGCTGGATTTCGCAGTTCAAAATGGAAAGGCTCTCTAATATATCATCATATCACAGCGTCATGTGTTCCCCAAACATTCCTGATTCAAGCCAGTGCTGATCTTTTCTAAAGCTCTTAGCCTCCAACAAAAGCATGATACATGGTGGTACCACGCTGGCTCCCCCTTGAATAATGTGCCAGCTCACGCCTTTCCCCCATCTCCACCATACTGCATATTAACTGCTGCAAGGATCCACTTTCTGCAGAGTGAGCTACGTGCACACCCCCTTTGCAGGAAAAATGACAATCTCCTCCAGGTCTTCTATTATGAGAACAATTAAGAACATGCTTTTCTGGAAGGTTGCCATGACGAATCTGTGCCGTTCTGAAAGACACCCGGCCTTCGGCCATTACCCTAAAGTTAGTGCTGCTGGATCGCGGCTCCGTCTCAAGGTCACCAGCGCTGTTCATTAATCCTTCCCTGGATTTTCATAAAGGATCCCATGGGATTTTACCATTGTTCATATTTCATACTATTCATAGCTATAAACAACAAAAACACTCTGGCGTGGATTTTTATCGTACCATTTTAAAGTCTGCTTTCGCTGGGCAGGTCAAATCACGCTGTAAATGGACCGCGACTCCTTTCACTTACTCCCGGTTCTGCAGCAAGCCTTAAGAGGGTTAACAATGTTCTTTATGCACCAATGTCTCTGACTGGATACTGGATTAGACGTGACAGTGGCGAGGCTCAGGATGGAGGGTCGTATCTTTAAAAAAAGGCTAAGATTCAGTCATAACACTGAATCTAATTTTATGAAAAATCACACAGAAAAAAATCCATACATGTAAAACATCTAGCTTCAGAGCAGTAGGTCTATTTATACACCTGTAAGATAGTGGGAGGCTGGAAAATGACAAGGGGCTGGGTTTGTGGTGATCTTTTTTAATTCTCCACAGCAGCTGATCAGCCCTGTGCCTACAGATCCCTCAGATAATGAAAGGTAGCTACCTGGATTGTAGTGAGTGACTTGTTAGAAGTGAAATAAAGTCAGCTCCGGTCTCTGACTGAGCCGAGGGTGGTATTCTCATGTGCTGAATAAAAGACTGTGTTCTTGTTTTGTAGCTTGTGTAGAGATTCGGAGTTTGCCTTTTCTCAGTGGGCCTCAATCCCATTCTCTGGTTAATAATAATAGAGCCGTTATGATTATTCAAGCTGCTCATTTGTCACTGACTTCCGATCCCATCGTGCCACAGTCACTATAACCGGAAACAGACAAAAAAAACACACTTATTTGTAAATGTTCCTTCTTGACAATGGGCAACCAGAAGGTAGATTGTCATTGTTTTTTCATTTCTTGTTGATGGAGAACAAAAATGAAATGTGTTTTGCTGCTGAGAGCCGTATTAGATGCCATTCTGTTTTATTTTTAATCCGTAGCACATAGAACAACAACATGAGGTGATGAGACGGAAAATAAAAGAGAATTTGAAAACAGGCAGTTATTTTTTGTTTGCTTTTTTCCCCCCACAGATCTAAAGAAAAC